CCACCGGTGGAGGGCTATAAAATTTGATCTATGCTCGGCACTCAGTGAGGGATCTTTCGTGCAAACTTATACTGCAACATGAGACCTCGGTTTATAGGTATTACCACAAAACCGAATTCGAACCAACGACGCCACGTAGGGACCAACTTCTCACTCCGCGACTCTAGAGAAGACGCTCTTCCACTCTGCCACGCGGGTCAGTGACTTTTTAAATAGACCTAAATTTAGCATAAGTTACATGTATTGTATTTCTCGCTGACTACTACATTGGAGGTCATACTGGTGATTATCTCTCTTTGTCTTACAAAACTTAAGATGAAGACCAAATATTTTTTGGTGAAAATCCATGTAAAATAAACATTTCTAAATAAAGGAGGCGAAATAAATGTATATTGTTCAGAAAAACAATGCGTTCTACCCCAGAATCGTCAATATAAAAGTTAAAGTCTGTTAAATTATAAAGAAATATAAACAACTCCAATATTGCAACCAATAGGAAATAACTCTTGGTCGATTTACATATGCAGGCGTACTGAAATACGCGTATCAATTAAAGAATTATTCTTTTGATTATAAAAAAGGTACTAATCATTGGAGAAGTGGAGAATAGCATTACTTATTTGAACATACATGTTGGATAAACATACATGTATTTAAATTGCAAACCAAAGAGCTTTAATTCAAACCTAAATTTTTCAGCGCCATGGTAAAATTTTGTTAAAGAAACATGATAATTTCTTGCATCCATTGAAACATTCAAACATACGTACCAACATAACTAATGAATCGATCATTTGGAATATATAATTAAGCCTTTGGATATTGAAATACCCCACCCTACTTTATAAATAACTATTTTATCAACCTTTATCTCTTAATATTTATATTCTTCAGGTACAATACAGAGAATATCCGTTAGTCGGAGTAATGGAATCTACAACTTGGGATCAAGGAGGACGAATAATTCAAAATCAAAATCAAGAAGACGACAATGGATAAGGGAAAGTTTTCCTTCGACAAAAAGGAACAGGACACTTTATGCCTGACGTCCATGATTTTATAAGGCATAAAAATCCAAGCATACGCGGAAAAATTCAAATCTTTTGAAATATGTTATAAAGAATAAGATTTTAGCAAAGCAAAGCTAATTTGAACAGCTTGCGTTTCGTCAGTGAACCTGTTTGTGAGATAATAGGTAGACCTGGTGGAATAATTTATGAATTGCAGCTATCATTGTTTTTAATCTCATTAAAAGTCTAAGCTTCTTCTGTTTTTACAAAATCACAATAAAAAACAGATACGGCAAGATGAAGAAATCACTGCTTTATTATAAATATAGCTTTTGTTTTACCTTCCATAGATTTCAGATTTTCTGTATACATGTACTAATGAATACTCGACATTCCTTTCTATCCCCTAAAAAGAAGTTATGGCTGTCCTCCTCTTGGGTGATAAAAAAAATGACCAGACATATAATAGTCATCTTGCACTAAAAAAGAACAAGGGGATTACATATTTGTGTTTTATCATATGAGTTTTAAAATTGTCTAAATACACATCACTGTTTATCAAAAAACGGGATAGCCTTTATCACAGTAAAATGGAAACAGATAGGACTTTAAATATTATTTTAGAAAGTAAGTTTATATTATATCAAGAAATGGTTGCTGTGCTGTACAATTTTCTCAAAATTCAATTTTTCTTATTAATTCTGTTTTTTTTTATCGAACAAAACTTACATATAAAACTATGTAGATCTTAATGTAGAATGTCTCAATGTTTGTTTCACCAAGTTGTGGCAGATGTTAAAAAAATTGCTCGGCAGAAGAAAATGTAGCATTGCAATTTAACATCAATTAAAAAAAACTGTTAGATGATAAAGTCAAAAAACTAAAAGGACTATAACTGATTTACTATTTAAACTTTTAAAATGTCATGTAAATGACAGGTAGCAGTAATGAGAGTATCTGTACATTCTCATGTCAGGAGTGCAATATTTGATGCTCAGCTACCCAGCATGAAAAAAAACACTTATCAGTATATCATTCCTTGATTTCTATTTTAGAATATAAAGTCAAAAAGAATTTAATTACTAGTAAATTAATCTTTACCGGATCTATCTGTTTTAGAAGTTACCTTATAGAGACAGGGGAGAAGCTGCTAGGTAAGATGAGAGATATTTATTGCAGGAAATGAGGAAATAAATAAACTAGAACAAAAAGTACTATGATCCAAAGTCAAGGCAGCAAGCTTTAGAGGTGGATGAAAAGGTATTGGTTTTACTCCCTACAGGTACCAAAATATTATTGCTCCAGTAGAAGGGACCAGCAAGAGTCACTGGAAGGGTTAGTCCCGTTGACTATATAATTCAGTTTGATGATGGGGTTAGTAAAGCTGAAACAATGGATAGAGAGGACGACAATGTGGTGATGACAGTCGTAAGTAACGCAGAGTCTGCAGATGATGACGACTGGATTGGAAATCATTTAATGCATTCTCGAGATACGGTAAAGGTGTGAAAAATTTTCAAACGCTTACTCCAGAACAATAAATATATATTATTATAACAGTTACTTGATCCGAAGGGTCGTATCACGTCGAGTTGACAGGCGCGGATCATCAGATCTAACGAGACGCGAAGCGTCGAGTTTGATCTGATGATCCGCACCTGTCAACAAGACGTGATACAGCTCTTTGGATCAAGTTACTGTTATAATGATAAATTTATTATATACCCCCTTATAACTAGCAAAATATAGCAGAATAAAACTTTAGAGATCATGTTGTATAATATTTATCCATAAAACAAAGCTTAATAACAAGGGACTTTTTAACGCGCAAGAAAAATAACGTCATGTTTTTGCGTACTACGTCATCAGTTTCAGAGAGTGGTGATATGGATTCAGAAAACCACAGTGTGGTGATCCGGAAAATCGGATCAAACTCTGTAAAATTGACAGTAACAAAAACAAGGAAATTGATGGGTATATAATAATCTGAGTTATAAGTTTGTTCGGAGCAATTCTGTTTGGTTTTGTCCAATGTTCCAGGTCGGGCGAATCTGTTTAAACATCATGTGGTAACTATAAATGAGATAACCGTTTGTCGGAAACCTTATTAGATACCCCATTTCTTGCGTGATGAAGTAAAAATAAAGAGTTATCAGTCATGGTGGAGGCAGGTATAGTATTACTAAAAATGATTTTAAGAAAATTTTGTTTAGTTTTATTTTTTCCGACAAACGATGACAATTTTTTAAACCGATCGATATCGTTCCGATCGAGTTATCAGTTAAGCGGTTACAAATTTCCATCCCTACTTAAAGCTGAACACGACTCGTAAATAGGTTACCGTTTTGGTAGCTTAGTCGGTAGAGCGCTCGCTCCGTGATCGGGAGGTCGTGAGTTCGCATCTCGGCCGCGACTGACCTAAGTCGATAAAAAATGGGTAGCAACTGTTCCTTCGCCATGCGCTCGGCACTTTGAAGTGAAAGTTGCGGGTCCTTCGGATGAGACCTTAAAAACCGAGGCCCCGTGTCAGCGGCAGGCGTTGGCACGATAAAGATCCCTCACTGCTCAATGGTGCCGAATAGAGGTCAAAATTTGAAGCCCTTTACCGGCATATGGTGACGTCTCCATATGAGTGAAAAATTCTCGAGAGGGCCGTTAAACAATATACAATCAATCAATCATCGTAAATAGGTTACGCGATGTCGATATCATTATCTACGATAATCAACACCAGGGTATACTCTTCCGATTTGTCACACTTGACTGCTTTATTGTCACGGGTATCGGCGTTGAATGGCAACCCGTGTTCGTGTTGGTTATCTTGAATTACCTTTGTTTAAATTTCATTGCTTTTACTGTATCTGTGTTTCTTTGTATACTGCACTGACCTGTACAATTATAATTGTAATTTTCTTTGATATCTTACTTTCCTGCTATATACTAAGTATTACGTTATTATTCTCGCTACTGAGTGCTGTATAGCATACGTCCGTCTACACCGGTGTAGACTGATTACACTGAACAGTGACAAAGTCTTGCTCTTTTTATAGGGTTCTAGAAGTATAACGATTCTCCGAACAAAAATGGCGGACACATTCTTTTTACGATTCGTGTTAACAATATAAATCATGAGTAGAGCACACACGGCCCTCTAAAACATCAGAGGTGGGATCAGATGCCATGGAGCAGTGTGTATCCCCTGCCGACCGGTCACACCCACCTACCGCTTGATCATTGTAATGTTCGGAAGAAGACATAACAAATAACGGACCAAAAATTAGTATGAAAATCGTCAATCAGCATTTGCTGGATAGAAATGTTGCACATTACAAGTTTAAAGCATATTGTTAGGTTACAAACTGAAATCCAAATTCTGTCAAAACAACAAATTATCATTGACTCTTAGCAAGGTAATCATGAATGTTTCTGATAATCAAATTAACATAAATTTGAATAATTTTTATCATAATTGAAGAGAAAATACAAATAGGTAAATGAAGCTACAAGTGTTTATTTGTAATGACAATATCACAAATTATAGTTTTTATCCCTGATTATTGCATAAAAAACTTCTTATCCTTTGGATTCAATTTGTAATAAGCATATCTCTAATGTATATTTTTTCAATCGTATCAAATTTCCAAAATTCGGATTTTGTGTTTTGTACACCTGTTCAAACTTTTATGTAAACGTTTAAAAATTTTCTCTCAATGTCACTAATTTATTTATATTCGCATTAAGCATAATTAGTATAAAAGCAGGTGAGTGTTCTGACGCACATGTTCTTCAAGTTACATGTTTTTACCTTTTAAAAAATGTTAAGGATTAAATAATGACTTATGTTGAAGATGTTTAGACTTGATTCATTAAAATTCCTTGCACGCAGCGGACAATTCATTTGTAAACTGTCACTCCAATTTTATAATGAATGTCTTTTTGTAAATTAGATAGGAAAACCCTGTTGGAAAGCATACAATTCCTATGCTTTTGAAAGAAATAAATAAACAAACCATATTCTTACCTGTGACGTCTCTTATCATAAAAGTGATGCTTATATACAGAGTAGGCAAAGCATGCTAACCAAATCCGGCATGATAATATTACCTTGGGCATTATTCAGCTAATTACGGTTATGTAATTTGTATATTCAAGCATGTTCATATAAGAAAAAACTTATTTAAAAGTACTTCCAAATGTCAAATTGCAGGCAAACGGAGGATATTGTGAAAGTGAAAAAGAAACTTTTCTAGACAATGAAGTCGGCACGCCTAATTATTATTTTTTTGCTGCTTATGATTTTACAAGTAGGGTTAAATGTAGGATTTTATGAAGTAATGGCAGAGGACAGTGATGGAAACAGCGTAGGAGTTATTGTCAAACGAAGTCTGTTTTGTAAGTAATGTCGGTAAATATTGTATCAGTTAATTGCAAGACTACATGTAATCTATCAGTAATTGCCATACTTTTATTTATAAGTATCTCTTTGTATTTAGCGTCTATAATAGGGGGATCACGGCAATTTGGAATTTATAATTTACGATTCAGGAGAAGAAGACGTCCCAGTTCAAGAAGAAGATGGGGTTAACTTTGCAATTCCTCCTCAATAAAACATTTATGATGAAAATTAGCGTTTGAATCATTTATACATATTCTTAATTTTAAAATTGAGTTTATTTTTTTTTACCTTTTTAGTGGTCATTGTTACTATTTTAATGGTGAATTGCTAAAATTTGACGTGCCTTTCGCCCAATTTTTATAGTTTTAACATTCATATAATTTTGATTGACCGTTTTAACAAATCATTATTGGAACAATATATCTCTGATCCTTTTCAAAAAAGAATCTTAAGACTTAAATAAAGACGCCACTACTTGCCGGTCTAGAGCTGCAAAATTATCCTATATTCGGCTCTTAGGGCCTTAAACAGGGATGGATCTTTTTCGTGCCAACACCTTCTGCTTCACGGGACATCGGTTTATACTGTCTCATCTTAAGTGGGATTCGGACCTGCGATAATAGGATCAACTCCTTACTTAGGCGACTCTAGAACAGACGCTCTAACCACTGCGCCACGCGGTCGACTATTTCAGAATAAGTGAGATATCTTTGTGAAACAAAGAATTACAGATTTGACAAATTTTTATCTTGGTCACAAGATTCTTAATGAAAAGAAGTTGCATTTGTCTAAACGATGTCGCAGGATCCCAAATTGCAAGTTAGGTCATTTAAGGACAGATGATGCTAAAAATATGGTTGTCTGGACTTGTGCAAAAATATATATCAAGAAATTATAAACCTTCTGTGATATTTAAAAGTCTTCCCATCTGAAACCATCCTTATTGAACTTTACAAGTATTTTTCACTTCAAATCCCATTTTTGTGAAAATTTGAATAAAGAATTAGAAGCTACGCGATGAAACTTATTTCTTTTACTCATTTAAATATGACCCTTGTTATTTTCATTAATTGATTGTTATAATTATTTTTCGTCCCTTGAAAAAATAAGCTTTTCACATCACTAAATACCTTTGAAGGGCTTCACATCGTACCCATAGATTGAAAAACATTATGACATCTACAATTCTGGATATAAGGCAATCAAATATCGAAAAAGCGATTATTTTAAAATGGAATTAAAAAAAAGAAGAGAAGTCATGTTGCACTTTTTTTTAACCAGCAGTTATCCAATTAATATTCGAGGTGTTCAATAAATAATGTCCTCTGTGCTCGGAAAGAATAAAAAAACACTTTTGACTTTTTTGAGTACGGCCCCTCGTATACATTTACTGGAATATGGCAGATCATATGATTTCCTGGACTTATTTCTTCTTTCTTAAAGGTATTTTCTTCAAATTTGAAAAATAATCAAGTCAAAGCGTGACAGATCTGGCAAATATTGTCGGTGCTAACTTTCTGTTTATAACCAGTTTATTACACTCTTCAGGTAGTGTGGATTTGGACGCTGTCATGCAGTTGATTCCTGATTCTGGTTCCGTCCTCTCTTAAACCTTTCATTTTTTTGGCAAAAATGTTGCTTTCCAACTCCTCCAGAAATTGAACTGCCTCCCCAAATAAGAATTTGAACAACAAGACCACAATTTTTTCAGAATAAGGCATATAAAACTACCTTTGTCCTCTTGCAAATCTTTGCTCTTTTCAGATATTTTATATTTTTGTCAAGTGCATCTTATTGTTATCTTATTTTTAAGATTTAAGTTTCACTATCTGTTTGGATTTAAGACAAACGTGGATAGGTACACTTTCTAATCATTTATAACTGTTTAGATATTTTACATGCTGTCGTTTTCATTGATTTTTCAAAACATGGTGTGACCATTGAGTACTTTTTGAGATTTTTTACGAGTTGATGGACATCAACTCAGTTATGCTCTTACAAATGTTGACCTAATTTTGACCAAAGAACACACCTCGTTTATTCAGTTCCTTCTACGATGATTTGTATCACATCTTGAGAAACTCCACATAAATAAAAGCGAACATATATATTAAAGACATGTCAATGTTTCTTTTTTGAAAGGAAATTTATTTTAAGTATAAACAATAACATTTTCATTGACATGCCTTATTGCGTCGGTCATGTCGGTCCGACAACAAAAATAGTGCATTTTAAACCGCCGAAGAATGAAAGTGTATTTCGTCACTTCTCATATTCCTATATGTGCATATATGCCTTGTCGATTTTTAAAATGTTCAAACTAATTGCATAAAACATTGGTTAATTTTTCTGTGCCAAGTTCGTTGGGATTTATACAAATGGCACATTAGGCCTAACATAGAGATCGAACTACTTTTTCATATTCATACGCCCCATGCTACTTTGCTTGTAAACAAAAACACGCAAAATCGGCAGCACAACAGTGACTTCAAAAGAAATTGACGGGACTGTGGAGGCTTACTATAGTGGAAATTTTTAGAAGGTACGTAAACATGGTAAATGTAAATACATGTAGATTTAAGTATATTTGCACGTGTTGCTCTGAAATATAAACTTAGCCAGTAGTTTATCGATAGGACTTCGTATGGTACTGACCGAGTAAACATTAGCGCCACCTTGTTTTTGCGGCTTTAGGGACTTGATTCTATATTATAAATTTTTCTTTGTGTTTTGTCCGCAAAAGTAGCTTCTATTGTGGTAATGAGGCAACTGCCTCACTAGAAATATTATTTCAAGTCTTTGAAAACACACACAACAGCAGTCGTGCGACAGGACATGCCATTGACATTTCGACTAGATTTCCACTTTCTTGAGAGAATCGGTCATGTTTTAGTGAAAATCGAATGAATATTTTTCTGCATGCAATGATACGAAACGAAATTATCCAAGATAATATTTCTACTTGTTGTATCATACGAAAAATACGATGAGAACGAAGCATCTGTTGAAACGACGCCATTTTTATTTTAGCCAGGAGCGGATCAAAATCCAACACACGCACCTGTTCATAATAAATCTGGAATAAGTTATTTTAATTGATTTATGTTTACTCATATCGCTTCAGAAAAATAAAGACCACTTTTTTAATGTAACATAACAGGGTGAAAGTGTCTAATTTATTAATTTTCATTATAAAATAAAAAAAATATTTATAAATCATGTAAATGGCAATAAGTGAAAAAAAATACACATGTTCTGGATGACATGCGAGTACAAAGGCATCCTGTGTCATAAAACTGTGGAATAAACAATTTAAGATGTAAAAAAAATAAAAATAAAGATCAGATCGAGATTTTGATGATCTTAAAGATGATTATGTTGATGATGTCAAAGGCTCAAAAAAGAAAAAGACAAACTTTTCTGGAAAATATCAGGTTCAAAGAAAAATTGTCAAAGCAAGTCTCAGCTATTACTTGCATTGCAGCAGATATGCATCAAGCATGAAACAATTTCTCAGAAGGTAGTAGAGGTAGACAGTGTACGTGTTGCTAATGCACTTGTAAGCATTTTGTATAAAGAAGTGGTTTGAATTCCTACAGACGATTGGAATTCAAGTGATCTAAATTTATTGCTCTGGAAAGATGATGATTTACATTTAAGATGTCATAATAAATAAAATACTCTTCAAATCTTCCATTTTACTTGTTATTTTATATGTTGTTTTAATTTAGAATTTAGAATTTATTATTTTTCTAGAAGTATAAACCATAAGGGCGAGAGCATAATGTTTCCTGGAAGGACTTGTTTACGAAACCTTTTTCACTGCTTCTGGAGGTTCGTTGGTTAATTTCTCATTCCGGAAAATTTAACTCCATCACTACCATGTTGGGGGTTCCTTAATGCCAGATAACATTTCCAGGAAAGCAAAGAGGTACTTTTAAAATGTCATAATAAATGAAATACCCTTCAGATCTTCAATTGTACTTGTTATTTATATGTCGTTTTAATGATAATGTAAAATATTTTATTTTTCTAGAGGTATACACCACTAATAGCAGAGCATAAAGGATGGCTGGGAGATTTGATAAACTTACTGTTGTAGGAGAACAATTTCAAGCATTGATATATATTGGAAAATTGTGCTGTCAGTCTTTTGTATGACTTGGAGGACAAGCTTCCCCTTGAAAACTGGAACAAATGTGAAATGAAGAATGTGTATCTTCATATTGAGAACTTTTCCTTGTAAATCACCTCTGGGAAAAAATTTATTTCATATCAATTGATTGTGTTCATTATCTGGTCTAATTTTATATTTGTAATTTTTTTTTAAAATTGCATGGCGAAACACATTTTTGCTCACCTGAGTCAAAAGCTTAAATGAGTTTTTTGATCCGATTTCTTTGTTGTCTGTTGTGTTGTAAACTTGTTACTACTTAATTTTTGTTCAAATGATGCCCCTTCCCCCCTGGGAGCTTGAGACCATTTATAAAGTTAAACTTCTCTAAATGGAACTGATATCTTCTTTTTTCAAGCCAAGATACTCAGGTGATGTACAAAGTATGTACTTTGTAGTGACATCAATTAGAAGCAATATCATTTTTAAACCGCAGTTTGATAGCAGAAATTTTATTTTCAAGAAAATGTTGGAGGCATATGTTCATTTATATCATATTAATTTCATGTTTGTGAATTTCAAAACCGATTTCAGCTACAATTTACATTGGAAAAAATGCAGTTGTCCAACTTGTGTCTATTGTGTGTCATGAAAGAAAAATCTTACAGCTTATTGTGATATGCAACAAATATTTTACCTTGATCATGTGTTTTTGCAACAGTTGTAAAGTGTATATGCTCAAGAATATAATTATTAGTTTTCTCCTGTGTCCCAAATATAACTGTGTTAGTACTTTGATTTATGTAGCATTTATTTGTAAATCAGGGTCCTGTGTAAAACTTCTGATATTAAGATTACACACATTTTGCATTTTCTTGTATTTTCCTGTATATTGTGCTTTTACACATTTAAACTGGAAGACTGCAATGTTAAAAAAATCTAATATGATAAGTATAACAATAGTAATTGTCAAATTGATAATGAAAAGTATTTTAGCTCACCTGAGCCGAAGGCTCAAGTGAGCTTTTCTGATCACATTTTGTCCGTCGTCCGTCCGTCTGTAAACTTTTCACATTTTCGACTTCTTCTCAAGAACCAATGGGCCAATTTTCACCAAACTTGGCACAAAGCATCCTTGGGTGATGGGAAGTTTAAATTGTTAACATGAAGTGCCAAGTCCCCTTACAAGGGGGGATAATCAATAAAAGACAAAAATAGGGTGGGGTCACTAAAAATCTTCTTATCAAGAACCACTGGGCAAGGAAAGCTGAAACTTATGTGAAAGCATCCTTGGGTAGTGCAGATATTAAATTGTTAAAACCATGACCCCGGGGGGTAGGGCGGGGCAACAATAGGGAATCCAAGTTTTACATAGAAATATATGGAACAAAGCTTTTAAAATCTTCTTCTCAAGAACCTCTGGACCAGGAAAGCTGAAACTTATGTGGAAGCATCTTTGGGTAGTTTAGATATTTAATTGTTATAATCATGACCCCCGTGGGTAGGGCGGGGCCACAATACAGAATCCAAGTTTTACATAGAAATATATAGAATAAAGCTTTAAAAATCTTCTTCTCAAGAATCACTGGGCCAGGAAAGCTGAAACTTATATGGAAGCATCCTTGGGTAGTGTACATATTAAATTGTTAAAATCATGACCCCGGGGGTAGGGCGGGGCCTCAATAGGGAATCCAAATTTTACATAGAAATATATAGAACAAAACTTTAAAAATCTTCTTCTCAAGAACCACTGTGCCAGGAAAGCTGAAACTTATGTGGAAGCATCCTTGGGTAGTGTAGATATTAAATTGTTTAAAATCATAACCCCCGTGGGTAGGGCAGGGCCACAATAGGGAATCCAAGTTTACATAGAGATATATAGAACAAAATTAAAAATCTTCTTCTCAAGAACCACTGAGTCTGGAAAGCTGAAACTTATGTGGAAGCATCCTTGGGTTGTGTAGATTCTAAATTTTAAAAATCATAAAAGGGAAGGGGGTAGTGGGCATCATAGGCAAAGACAGAGAGGGAATGTGGTAAAGAACTGCATCACCCAAGTAACTCAGGTGAGCGATGTAGCCCATGGGCCTCTTGTTTTAACGAGATATTACTTTTGCTGTATCCACATTAAGGACATTCAGATACTGTTGTACCATGATATACTGTAGGTATGAAAGAGCGTTTCATTTCATTTGTTAAAATAGGGCACTAATACACAATAAATGTATAATTATAATGTAAAAAGAAATGCTTTCCTTATTATTTCACATGACATTATTTGTTTATGGGATTTAATAATACAGTGCATCATCTCATGGAATTGACATCAGAAATCAAATGGAAGTCTAAATTTCTGCAATTTTTAAATGGCAATTGCATTTCCTTATCAGTAAAGCAGTGTTCAATTTATAAGCTTGAACAACCATCAACTCGTATCAGTACTTCCAGCACTTTGATTATTGTTAATTATTTCTTTAAACTAGTGTGAACTACCCCAAATTGATGCCTATCAAATTTGCTTTGTGTCTGAAAGTCAATCAAACATCGTCAGTGATAATTGTTGTATTTTGGCAAATAGAACATTGGTTTTTGTAAGTTCCTGTCGCCAAGGACGGTACCCACTTTTAATGCCCATTAAATCAATATTGTTCAATGAAATCCACTTGCACGTGTAGTTAAAAAAAACAAACACTGGATCTGTAAATTTCACAAATTTCCGTGAATATTTCTTTGGGTTTCCCAACAGGTTTTACAGCAGCTTTAACCATTCTGAACCATTCATTTTTTATGCAGTGTCTCGAATAGCCCTTGTTTTCCACCTTCTCACGATAAAAATATGAGATAAAAAATGGTCACATAAACTGATATTAATTCATTAAAGATTCAATCATGAGAGAAAGGCAAGTTTAATGCTTTATGATATCTGTGTTGTATGTCATAAAGCTCAGGACATAATTTATTGAACAGCCCTCGTAAATCACTGTATGACGAAAGTGAAGAAAGTAAACGTGTAGTGGTATAAATTACCATCTAATATTAAGGGCTTTATATGGTCCAAAACAACAACATTACAAAATATTTCGGAAGCATGAAAATCATCGAGGATTAACTTTGACAGCATCCGAGTGGAGGACGAGGTTGTGTAGTGAAGTCTCAGAACCTGGTAAATTGAGTGCTGTGTCATTAGTGATGTTTGCTGTGGGTATTACAGGAAGAACTTGATAGAAATATTCATTTTTCTTTAAGTTGTTTTTTGGTTCATCTGTTAAAATCTCGATCGGGATTTTCCTGCCACTATCTCAATAATTTCTTGTCTGGGCCACATTTGCTCCACATATTGTGATTCAACACGGGGCTCAGCTGTTACTGAACCTTCTGCTGGGCTGTGTTCTTAAACGTCAAGCTGTAGGTATTATCTGTGGTAGATGGGGACTACATACCATATGCATGATTTTGCACCCAAAGTGGTGCTGTTGGTCCCCTTCCCTAGTAAGGAATGGGTAATGTGAGAGTCGACAATCATAATTTCATAAGGTGCAGTGCAAAAACTGATATCATTAGCAGAAAAAAATGGAATTCCTTGTAGGATGTCCACATCATAATCTTTAACTACTAGGTCCTCGATATGTAGGGTTATATTTTCTCGGGTCAAATCAAAGGGTTGCCATCAGTCTTAAATACCTGTTTAGTGGACTTTGTGATTTCGTTTTCCAGGAGCTCAGTGAGATACGCTCTAATTATACTAATTTCTGTAACACTGTCTAGTGTTATATGGATGACATGTTGATTTATAGAAAGTTTCATTTGTGGCGACTGTTTGGTGCTGACTTGTGAAAAATGGTGGATTATAGCTTTTAAGGCCCGCGGCTGTGAAGGACTTTAATTTGGCATCATTGTTCAGAAGGAATTCGAAGCTGAGTGGCCAAGGCTTGAGATCTTTCTTTATTTAGGTGGCCCAAGGTCTTTGATCTTAACTCTGGACTATACGGTTGTTCAGCCGGGGATGTTGACCCTTGTGCAGTAGGCAAAGATAGGTAAAGGAAATGAGTTTTTCGAGGGATGGTCATAACTCCTCATCAGCCTCAGGAGGATCGCTAATTGAGCTATGCATCCTCCACGTTGGAGTAGATTGTCTTCAATGAAGCTGGTTAACATCTGATATACGTCTTCGGGTCGTTTCAGTAGAATGTAACCAAGTCCAAGAAATAGGCAACTTTTTGTGAAACCCAAAATGTGTTAGAAAAGCTTGCCGTTTCGATTTTACAAATGTGGAGTTCTTAACAATTGCGTTCCTTGAAATGACTGAGTTGTCCGTGCATAAGCTCTTAGTAGGTTATTTTTTGTGCATCTGTCTGTTGTGCTTCTTCGGGCAAGTTTTGTCGATCGTTGGCAAGCCCATATCTTGGATTTGCTGGGATTTTTTTAGGTCATGTTGCTCCGTCCACTACGAAAATTGCGAAGTTAGGAGCGGGTCCGAGTGCATACTGTTACTTTTGCTTCCACGCCTCTTGCCATATGGTCTTGCCATAAATAAAACCTATGTGAAGTATGGAACCCTTAGCCCTAACCCTTCAAAATTATGTCCAATTTAAAAGGGTAGGTCAAACTCCAATGTCAAGGTCAAAGGGTCAAGGGTCTTGAAATGAAATAAAATGTCTAGTCGCAAGGATTAAATATGTACAGTATAAAAGCACTAGTCCTAACCCTTTAAAAGTCATCGTCAATGTTTGCTTTTTAAAAGTAGGTCAAACACCAAGGTCAAAGCGTCAAAGTTCTTGGTATTCAATGAAGGTTCTTTCACAAGAAGAACATATGTGGAGTATGAGATCACTAGCCCTTAGCGTTCAAAAGGTATGGCCAAAGTTAATTTTTTTTCATAAGTACGTAAAACTCCAAGGTCTAGGTTAAAAGGTGTTTAATGAATACATATTTGAAGTATATATACCCTGGTATCTACTGTTCTCGTCAAGGTTTGGAATTTTTGTGTAATGTGGATCAAACTCCAAGGTAAAGGTAAACAGGTCAAATTTGGCGGTACCCATTGAAAGGTCTTGTCACAAGGAATACACATGTGAAATATGCATGTCATAACTCAACTAAATAAAAAATTATGGACAAGGTTAGAATTTTTGCCGACAAACGGACAGCTAGACATAGAGACATACAGACGGACAGAGAGACAGCTAGACAGACAGACGGACGGACACGACAAAAACTATATACCCTCGAAACTTCGTTTACGGGGGCAGGAAAATTACATATTACACTGTATACTA